TTTCTCGCGCGCGCCCCCTCTCTCTCTCTCTCTCTCTCTCTCTCTCTCTCTCTCTCTCTCTCTCTCTCTCTCTCTCTCTCTCTCTCTCTGTCTCTCTCTCTTCTTCTGCTGCTTGAATGTAATTTTGATAGTTGTTTCCTTTTTTGTTATGAAGAAAGATATAAAAAAAGGAATCTTTTTGTGTATATATTGACTTTCTTGTGTATTTCAAATTGAGGACTTTGCTATACTCTAAAACGTATATTACGTTTCGATGTATATAACCATTGGTGCAAATACACTTTTGAACATCAAATGCTGGTCCAAAAACTCGTATGAAGGAGCGGTGACTCATTAATTTTACACAAAAAAGTTTTCCCTATGCATTGTGAGATTATTTTGGTTTATTTTCATTTGCATGTACTCATAACACATCTTCATGTCATTCATTCATTCATATATATATATATGTATGCCATGTTATATCGAAAAAATATGGGTAAATCTTATTAAAATCCTAAATTTCTAAAACTGTGTTTTTGTTCCCAAATTTGCTAAATGTCATTATAATTCTTAAACTTGTTAATTCATGCCAAAAGAAATATTGACGATTTTAACCCACAAATCCGTTTAAAAATTATTTGAGAATTATATTGATATATTTTACAAGTTTTCGAAAAACTTAGAAATTAGTTTTCTACCATTTTACAAATTAAAAAATTTCAATAAAATTTACCCAAAAAAATAGTGGTTTTATATATCAGCTTTTGGACCTATACGTGTTGAAGAAGGTGACAACTTGATTAGAATTTAGAAAAAATTATATAAATATGTAGTATTATAGATATATGAACCATATTAACTATTGGCTTGTCGTGATTCTATGTATGTAAGAGATAAAACAAAACTACTGTACGGCCAAATTGCTGATACACCGGGATTTGTAGTGTTAAACAAAGAGACATCGTGTCAACTAAGCATGTTTATGTACATACCTACATATATATAGATATGTATGGGTGTGTATTTTCACATTTGCGCACACACATGCAAGTTGCCAAGGAGTGTCTATATATATATATATATATATAATACAAAGACTTGAAAATTGCAGGTGAAGTGGGAGGAAGATACACAAGAATGTTTTTGCCCATCGGGTGCATTTTCATATTTTTACAAGTATCCACGTACGACTCAAATCCGAATTTAAATTTCGGATGTAACTAAAAATTCGTTTTCGTCTTGTTATTTTATGATTATCCGTATTTAGAGATATAAAAAAAATTAGATTTTTAACAACCCTTAAATGAAATCATCATCGTAGGATAGATCGTACTTGTAAACTAATCAGTCTAATAAGATGAGTATATATATATATATATGCTATCCATTTTTTTTTGGTCAAAATGCTATCCATTTGTTGCCACTTTATATAATCCATATGTATATAATTCGCTCTTAATTGGACTCAAATAAAAGTTTTGACTCTTGAGATATGAACTAAATAATCATATACTTATGAGACTGTTGACAACTTTATTTTTGTCCAAAAATTATATATATAGGTAATCCTCTCATCCAATAGATTGGATTTGAAGGAATTATATAAAAAGAAGCATAGCATTAAATATATAAAACAACAAAGATTCTTTTGATTCCAAAATAAATAAATTGATAACGAACTTGGCACGAATTCAAAATTTATTATAATTAATAACGTTATTTTTTTAATAACGTTAATAAGGGTATCGGATTAATGTGATAAAATAATCAATTAAATCAAAATAAATAGGAAAATCTGCGACTTGTCGTTTAGGTAAAAGTACATTGTACTTTACAGTGTTAATGCGTTTGAGATTAGATTTCATAAACCCTAAGAAGATCTCTCAGCTGTTTAGATGTGCCGACAATTTCCTCATTGAGTGTGCAATATATAACCGACCAAAATTAATTCACTTAATTAAAATAAAATTCGCGAAATCTTTAATTTACAATTAGGTAATGCATCTAATCATTTATTAATTTATTAATTCTAGCTTCATTATTTTCTAACTAATAATGTGCAGAGTGGATGAATTACACTCAAAACAAAGTGATTTGAGTATATATATATATTTAATAACATTATTTTATATGCAAATTAAAATATCATAAATGGTTTTGTTATGTTCTAAAATTAAGCTATTTTTATTGTAATTTTTTTTTCTAAGAAGGTTCTGAATTTATGAATAATTGTGAAATTCATTTTTTTCTCTCTAAAATTTAAAAAACAAATAGATTTTTTTTGGGTTCAAGTTAGAGAGAATTGTAAATTATTGTAGAATGTTTGGTAACGTATTTATGAACTTGTAGATTGATGTTACCATTTCCAATTACAAACATACAAACAAACACTAACTAACAAACCGTGAAATAACATTGAAATCTAGATATTTTAAAATAGATTCAATGAATCTCCATATGATATTTTCCAATGTGTGGCAGAAGTTTTTCCTTATTCGGCACGGTATTTGGACTGACCAGGCTTATTATATATTAAATAAGGTTATAACAAAACAATTATGTATATTTTCATTTACACGTCATCTCACTCTTTCTTTCGTTTTATTTTTGTCACTTTAACTTAATCTCGAATATTCAAGAAATATAGAAAAATTTCATGAATGAACATTATTTACATGTCTGACCAATCCAAACAAAGGCGTTGCTACATATTGTTATAATCGATCATTCTATCAACCAAACACTGTTATATAAAATAAGCCTAATACATGAATTAATAAAAAACTTTATAAACCTTTATAACTTAAAAATCAGTATAGGGATTATTTTGAATAATAATATAGACCTATACTTAAATCGTATTTATACGTGTATTATGTGATATCTTATTCAGGTCAAATTGTGATCTAATTTAAAACTGCGGTTTAATTGTCATTTCAAAAAAAAAAAAATTGTGGAAAGTTATCATTTATTCTATAGACATTAATTTCAAAAAAATTATTTTGGATATGGTCCCGTTGTCATATATATTTTTACAAAATTCTTATGATCTGTATTTTGAAAATCATTTTTAGTTGTATCTATATTGATCCACAAGGCTTAATCTGAAACTTCGGATTCCATTAAACATAATAGACTTATGTATTATTTTTAAATTTAAATTTGTTTCGTATTCATGTACATTAATCATATTCAGAATTATTTTCAGTAAATTTAGAAATTCGATATTCTTAATTATTAGGACAATAACCTAAAAAAATAAATTTGAAAAATTAACATATAAATACATAATCTTTGTATATAAAGTTTGCAAATATCTCGTAACGATGTGTATTTACGGTAATACTTGTAAAGTCTATATTTTTTAGAAGTCTTAAAGACAATATTATTTATATGACATTTTTTAAAAATTTCATGTTTTTAAGTTATTATCCCTTCATTATTCGAAATAATTCAACAATCAATACTCAAAGATGTTAACAATCAACTTTACCATAAAAAATCGATTAATACAATATACTATATATATAATATACATCCAAAACTTTAATAGTTCAATCGATCAAATGGAGACATAAAACGTATGTCCAACTACAAGTTCGAATCTCAAATTTTGGGATCATATGTCTGATCTTCGAATCCGAGATTGGTCTAAACCTTGGTCTAATATATTCGGTTACGGAATATGAATATATATATATATATATATATATATATATATATAGGGTATGTGGAGGAGGGAGGAAGAAGAAAAAGGTCAAACAAAGAGAAACAAAACCTGCAACAGTTGGAAAATGTCAAAAACACATATCAAATTATGACGGATTGATCGATCAATCTATTTGGTGGGGACACAGTTAGCATATAATTTCCACCAATCCCACTATGAAGTGGCGTTTTCGAAAGCTACCCATTGGTTTTTTGCATTTGAATTCTTATTATATATATATATATATATATAAAATATGATCGAAAAATGGAGAGTTAACGAACACAATAAGTGGGAGTGATAGATGCTGTAACTTTGGTCGACATCACATGAGAGGAAAAACACAAACGGTCGTGAAAAGGAGGCAACATATATATGCACATATTTGCAATAATATTATTTTCGTTTTCAGCCTCTCCGTTTGTGTAATTTTTTGCATGCGCACGTGTGGGAATATCATCATATAGGCCTAACGTGTGTGGCGGACCTAATCATTAACGTTCATGAAGCACATGCATGTTCACTCCTACTCCTGCACCATCGCCTTCTAGTTATTTCAATGCTTTGTAGATTATATATATAAACAATACATCATGAAAAGGAATATCTAGAGAGGGGTTTGATCCTTATATCACTGAACTGCCATGTTCTGATTAGGTGTGCCAAAGTCAAGCAAAGATCATCATCACCATCACCATCATCATCAACACCATCATCATCATACATGGACTTACAAGAATGTGAGATTGCCGCCCACCTTCCAAATAAGCCCAATTTGACACAACCTAAAATAAACAATCAATCCAAAATATAGTTCAAAATAACATTTTTTTTTGCTCATTTACATTGCAACCCTTATGCATATGATGCAAAAGACCCGTTCAATATGTCAGTAGAATAAAATCATAATTTCGTTCCATCATTGAAATCGGTCTCTATCAAAACCGATCGATTACCCACATTTAATCGAGTTCGTGATTCAAAGTCTTCTACTCATAATTTGTGATTAGGTGTGTCCAATGGGCCGGCCTAACTCGAGTCCACATTCAGCCCGAAGATTTTGGGTTCGAGCCGTTCCAAATTTTTTTGGGCCTATAGAACTAAACCCAAAGCCTACTCCTATAGAACTCGAGATGGGTGGAACCAACCCGTTTCATACCTTGTGCAATGATAATTTTTTTAATAAATCAAACTTCTGGACCGAGTCGAAGTCCGATTTGAACTCTGCCCAAAAACTCAATTTTTTTTTTTGATATACAAATTCATACCCAAAATCCGATATTTTCGGAGGGATTTGGATCGAGATTCGGACCAAAATTGATACTCATATTTGTGTTATTTTTCTTTTTCATGATATCCATGATTGAATAAGGGAATCAAATTCAAGTTCAATGGCTTTGATTGTATGAAGAATGAAGTTAATCCCTATTAACTCATTTGTCTTTAATCCATCTTATTCGAGGGTCCATCGATATTTGTTTTTATAACGAAAGAAATAAATTTGTCCCAATCTTCGAATGCAAAATATTGTATTGAATATCTACCAAAACTAGTTTGGATTCATTTATATAAAAAAATTTTAGGTTCCAAAATCTTTTACAAAAAATTATAGTCTCGGTTTGAAACTCCGTTCTAATATATAAATAAAGATCGTATCTCTAATTTCAAATTGAAATTTGCGATAGAATTAAGATTCAATTGATATGTGTTTCGATAAAGAATGATTGAATTGACTTGACAACGTAAAGTCTAGAGTTCTCACATTGCATTTAGTGCTTGGTTAGTTGTTAATCTAAAAGGGTCTCTTCCAAAATTATTACAATTATTGAAAATTTTTAGAATCATTATATAACTCCATTACTAAAACCTAAAGACATCCAAAGTTGCAAAGCATATTTATCATCTCGAATTTAAACTTTAAATTTAGAGAAAATATATTTTTTAAATTATGTATTTGACTCCGATCTCAAAATTAGTTTGAATTTTAGTATACAACACGCGATTGAAAAAAAAAACATTAAAGACTAACCAATATTTATCTAATAATATCAACTATCCCTCTGTTGTTTTAAAAAAGCTATGTTTAAGTTTAAATCATTGATAGACTCGTGTCATTTAATGTGATCCACCAAAAAAAATGAAAATCAAAAAAAAAATTGGAAACATTAATACGATAATTTACCCTCAACGAAATCTTATATCAACACGTGTCGTTGGTTTGACCCAATAGAAACCCGGGGGCATTCTCGTAATTGCATATTTGACTCGGTGGGAGGAGAGGAAGAAATGAAGAGAAGCATCATGTAATCCATTTCGGCGGAAGAAAACTAAAGTTTCTTCTTCGATGCATTTAATTTTCCCCTGATCCAAGGAACTAATAACCATATAAACTTCATTTAATTATTACTAATTATCGTTAATCTTGTTTCCGCGATCTTCTACATTTTCTGGTCTGGTTTGCCGAATCTCTCTCTCTCTGGCTCGCATGATGAACGAGGCCAGATTATTGTTCTTCTTCGGGTAGATCCTTCTCGGAGTTTCCGGTATGTTGTTCTCTGGTTCCCAGATTCTCATTGCTTTTGCTCCTTTGATTTGTTCTCCATTTCGAATCTGGTCGTCATTTGAGCTGAGTCCGATGTAGATTCGGGAGATGTTCTGTGTTAGAATTGTTGATCCGCGTGAGGAGATTGGTGTTTGCCCCCCCCGATAAGATCGATCGTTTCGCGGAGAGGGAAATTCGCAGAGTCGGATAGTGTATTTTTAGTAATGTTCTTGTGTGTTGTTACGAAATTTCCATCTTAATGCGACTGATGATGTTGCAGATTTCTGTGATTTGGGATCTGAATTTGAAGATTTGTAGCGTTGGTTTGAATCGAGCATAGAATTGGAGTACTTCAGTGGAGATTTGCATGCTACAGGCTTAGATTTTGCTTGGAGTGGTAGTTTTCGTAATCTGTTCGCAAGATAAATCCTTGCACAGAGGCTGGTGCTCTTACCGGTTCTGGTTCTGGGTTTGTAGGAAAGCCATGACTTTGGCTTCTCCTAGGGTTTCTCTGACAATGGCTGGTTTTCCAAGGAAAGTGTCCACAATTGCAATTGCCATTGGTGGATTGGCGTCCTTCTTCATCCTAGGATCGTTGCTGCTTTTCTCTTACCCGATTGGTTCCTCGTTTAGTGGGTATTTCTATGGAATGGAAGCTCCTGGACATATGGGATTTCCTGTCTCTTCAGACAATCAAACAGTAGAAGGCTTTCGTCAGGGTACCGAGTTTAAGAATGTCCATAAGAATCCATCGTCCAGTTCTAGCTTAGACTCTGGTGGTGATTCTAGTAGCAGTAGTAGTGTTAATGAAAATGATGGTGAAGGTGAAAGAAAAGTTTCACGGACCGAGTCACCGCTGGATCTGGAAAGTGATAGGAAGCCGGAGACATCTTTCACGCAAGAAAAGGATAATAAGTTGCTCCCGATCTCATTGGATACCACAGTTTCTCCAAATATGACTGGCGAGAGTGATGTCAGATCAGGCGAAACCAACTTAGTTGGATTCTCGAATGTTTCCATGGATGGAGATATATTGAGTTCATCATCTCTTCCCCATGATGACTCTAAAACAGCTTCAGAGGAAACAGGTACTGTCTTCTTTTATCTTATTGGCAACTTATTGATTAATGGTAGTTCAGTTTTGTCCAAACAAAGAATAAATTTGCATGGGAATCTATACTGAGATTACTCTTGTAACTGGCAAATCCCCTATATGGTATGTTCCTTTTACGTTCTTATCTAATTTACTTGACATAAATATTCCATATTTGCCCTTCTCTTAGATGATAAAAGTCTCCAATGTGTCAAAGAATCGAATCAAGATCATCACATTTATTGAAGCATGACAGCTTGTTTTATTGGGGGAGAGGTTCAAATACTAACATCTGCTTGAATCCATTTTCCTACAAGATCTATCTGGATATAGGGATCAAATAGGTTATCTTTTCAGGATCTTTAACTGCTTCAGTGATTTCTATATGTAACTGATCTGTGTTTAACCATTGACATTTGTAGAATGCGATCTGTATCGAGGTAGCTGGTTTTACGATCCCCTTGGACCGCTGTACACGAACAACTCTTGCCCTGTCCTGACACAGATGCAGAACTGCCAGGGCAATGGACGACCCGACAAGGAATACGAGAACTGGAGATGGAAACCCTCTCAATGTGAACTTCCACGGTTTGACGCCAAAAAATTTCTCGAGCTAATGAGGGGAAAGACACTAGCCTTTATTGGTGATTCGGTAGCTCGGAATCAGATGGAGTCCATGATGTGCCTTCTTTGGCAGGCAAGTCTTCTTCTTCTTTCATTCATTTTCTTTTGCATCCACTCATACCATTCACATATGTAATATATAAGCTTCATTTCCATGTCGATTTACATGTGATTTACATGTTTATGTTTTCAGGCGGAAACTCCTGTGAACCGTGGCAACAGGAAGATGCAGAGATGGTATTTCAAGTCATCAAATGTAATGATAGCACGGATATGGTCGTCATGGCTCGTCCACCAGTTCTCCGAGCCGTTTGATTTCGCTCCAGAAGGCGTCACCAAACTCAAGCTCGATGTCCCCGACGAGCGCATAATGGAAGCCATCCTGAAATTCGATGTGGTCGTCCTTTCCTCGGGCCATTGGTTCGCGAAACAGTCCGCCTATATCTTGAACGAGGAGATCGTGGGTGGTCAGCTATGGTGGCCAGATAAATCGAAGCCCATGAAGGTTAACAACGTGGATGCATTCGGGATATCGGTAGAAACAATCCTTACTGCCATGGCTACACACCCGAACTACACCGGTCTAACCATCGTCCGTACATTCTCACCCGATCATTACGAGGGCGGGGCTTGGAACACAGGTGGGTCATGCACCGGAAAGGTCGAGCCTTTACCGCTCGGGAAGTTAGTGAAAAACGGGTTCACGGAGGTAATGCACGAGCAACAAGTGAAAGGGTTCGACCGAGCAGTGAAGAAGCAGACCAACGGGTCGAAGCTGAGGCTGATGGATATAACGGAAGTTTTCGGCTACCGACACGACGGGCATCCTGGTCCATACAGGAGCCCCGACCCGAACAAGATCACGAAACGGGGACCTGACGGACGGCCTCCGCCGCAGGACTGCTTGCACTGGTGTATGCCTGGGCCAGTCGACACGTGGAACGAGATCGTGTTGGAGCTCATAAGGCGATCTTCCTCTTGACATGGCCTGAATGAATGAATGTTCCGACAAGGAATGAAGATGTTGAGGGAGTAAGTTATACCGTATAACTTATACGTACCACGGAATTTAGTAGTTTGGATCTGATTCTTGAATGATAAAGGAAATACACTTTTGTAGATGAGATTCTGATATATGTGCAATGATCGAATGGAATGGTGATTGCCTTGCTAAAAATAGGGTGTCAATTTTGATCCGAAATCCGAAGTCCGGTCCAGTTCGAAAAAATAGTGAGTTTTAGGCCGAGATATTTAGGTCCAAAATTTTTCAGGTTTTCGGATCGGATTCAGAATTTTGGACCAACTCGAAAGTCCGATATATTTTTTTAGAAAATTTTAATAAAAAATAAAAATATAAATCTTCAAAAAGAGTAAATTTATCACGTCCGTCCGGTTTAGTATGAACCCAAATCCGAAGTCCGGTTTGGTATGAATCCAAATCCGAAGTCTATAGGGTTGGATTTCAGATTTAGTTATTGAGATCCGAAAAAAATCGGGTCGGTTCAAAGTTGAGTCCGAAACGTTCAAACCGAGTGTGGGTTCGAGCCGGATCTATCCGATGGACACCTTACCTAAAAATATAGTCGAATAAATTGATTTATTTTTAGAAAATAAGATATTTTTAGAAATAATCAGAGCAGAGCAGAGAAAATGAATATAATTTTAAAAAAAATAACCGGGAAGCGGAAACATCTTTTTTTTTTTTTTGGTTCAAAGATAAGGCCCAAACGATTTACAGGCCCAAAATATTGATCGAACTAACAAAACTCAGATATCATAAAGCATCTCAACCGTTCATTAAGAGAACATATCAACGGTACATGTCAATTCTTATGCTGTAGCGCGTTACATCGGATTATGGTCCCCCACTCCGGTGAAGACGATTTGAAATTCAAACCCATATCTTTCAAATATGAACTGAGAACAAAAAAAAACCCCCAATCCGTTTCATGACCAAGGAGCGCCCTTTAATACTTTAACGGCTATTTTCTTCTCTCTCTCCAAAAATCTCGATCAGGGTCCCTAAATCGCTCTTCCCTTTCAAAAATGACAGCTTGTTTTATTGGGGGAGAGGTTCAAATACTAACATCTGCTTGAATCCATTTTCCTACAAGATCTATCTGGATATAGGGATCAAATAGGTTATCTTTTCAGGATCTTTAACTGCTTCAGTGATTTCTATATGTAACTGATCTGTGTTTAACCATTGACATTTGTAGAATGCGATCTGTATCGAGGTAGCTGGTTTTACGATCCCCTTGGACCGCTGTACACGAACAACTCTTGCCCTGTCCTGACACACTTCCGTTTCAAAAAATTTCAAGCAGATTCTACCAATTTCTCTGATCTTCTTCTGCTTCTTCTTCCGACGATAGCTTCAGCGTCAGATCAAAGCTTCAGTTCTGGAAATTCTCCGAGAAATCTCCCGTTTCAGGCAAGTGTGTGTGTGTGTGTTTGGTTTTTCGGTTTTTCTTAATGCTCTTCCTCTGTGTCTGAGAGCTTCTTATGTCCTCTGTTAACAAGTTTCGTGAACATGTCTCTTCCATCGCTCGAAAATTTGAAAATTCCTGCTTCCGAAGCTGTAAATCTTAGGAACAGTTCTTTTCCGGTTTAGTGGCGTCGAAACTTTTGGTTTCTGCCCTAGTTTGTAAGTAGGTGAATCGGGGCATGAGTCGTTGTTTCATGTCATTTTCAGGTATAACTCTTAACACTGTAGTTTCTGTCCCGATTGAATATTAGAGGCTGCAACGTTCTTGTGTAACCAATTGACACAGTTACGAAATAAATTCTCTTATTCTGGTGATTAGTTGTGCAATCTGTAGTTTCTCAATTAGCTTGTAGAGGTAATTTTAAATAAAATTGCACCCATGAACTTGTGAACTTGATTGGGTATATGTAGGCTTTAATTTAATCAGTAACATGTTTTCTCCCCATTGAATTTGACTGTTTTTAGTTATGATTTTCTCAGATTTCGATGAAAGTTATTGGGAGATATTGTGCCTCTGTTTCGAAACTCTTCCACCTAAAACGTGACAAAAGTCATTGTTCAATCAGCAGCATTGTGCAAGTTTCCTATTTTTAGTAGAATTGAAATGGTAACTTTTCCCTTATACTTGACAGGCAGCAGCATTTCAGTATGTCGAATGTTCAAAACGACCCCCTTCTTCAAGTGGAAACTACATGTGGATCACTGCTATATGAGCTCCAGGTTATTAACTGCGCGTTTTAGGAACGACAGTCTTTCATAAGTTATGTATCTGGGATTTGCTTGTTCTTGTCATGATTCATTCTAAACGGTTGTAATTTGCAAAGCTTACTTGTTTGTTTGTGAATCAGATCATTTGGGATGAAGTCGGAGAAACAGAAACTGAAAAGGATAAGATGCTGCTTGAGCTTGAACGTGAATGCTTGGAAGTGTACAGAAGAAAGGTTGACCAGGCGAATCGCTGTAGAGCTCAGTTAAGGCAAGCGATTGCCGACTCTGAAGCACAGCTAGCAACAATCTGTTCCGCCATGGGGGAGCGCCCTGTGCACATTAGGCAGGTTAGTTCTTGATAATGATACTTGGAGAATATGGAGAAAACTGTTTAACTATGAATTGTGAAATCCGCCCAACGATGATTAGACTTCCAACCCTTTTGTTTTGGAGGAAGTAACTGTTGTGTTTGTTTCATAATTGAAATCTGTGGCATGAGAATGTTTGTTATAAGCTGTTTTTCAAGTATTTGGTGTGTCTATGTGTATGTTGGCTTAGCCTTTTGTTTCTCTGCTTCAGTCTGATCAAAATGCTGGAAGCTTGAAAGAAGAACTCGGGATGATTTTACCACAGCTGGAAGAGATGCAAAAGAGGAAATCTGAAAGAAGAAATCAATTCGTGGAGGTCCTAGAGCAGATAGACAAGATTTCAAATGAGATAAATGGTCAACTGGAACATCTTTCTTCTGAGGCACTTATTGATGAGACTGATTTGTCTCTGAGAAAGCTTGAAGAGTTACATGTTCAACTATGTATTCTTCAGAAGGAGAAGGTTAAGTTTGCTTCTTTGATTTCGTTATGGCGCCAGTTAGTTTTGTACTTTATTTTTAGTTTTTTCAATCCTTTATAATGTTCTTTTGCCTCAGAGTGATCGGTTGGAGAAGATTCAGGAGCATTTGGGTACTTTGTACTCTCTTTGCTCAGTGCTCGGAATGGACTTCAAACAGATTGTTGGCCAAGTGGATCGCACATTATCTGATCCAGAAGGACCAAGGAGCATAAATAACCATACAATCGAACAATTGGGCACTGCAGTCCAAAAACTGCAGGAAATTAAAATACAAAGAATGCAGAGGGTAAATGATGAATCAGTTGGCAAACTATGTAAAACTTGTTTAAATGTCGATGCCCATATTCACCAACTGAATTTTTGCAGCTTCAAGATCTTGCATCTGCAATGTTGGAACTCTGGAATTTGATGGACACACCTATAGAGGAGCAGCAAGAGTTTCAGCATGTTACCTGTAACATAGCTGCTTCAGAACATGAAATAACTGAACCCAACAGTCTGTCAGAAGACTTCCTTAAATATGTAAGCTGCTGAAATCTTCTCCAGTGCTCCTGTTTTGTGGTATTATGTCTAGTTTTATAATTTAAGTCGAGCTCCGAGCCTATGCAGTAGCTCAAAACATTACACGCTATGCATACAGGTTGAGACAGAAGTTGCGCGGTTGGATGAGGTGAAGTCCAGCAAAATGAAAGAACTTGTTCTGAAGAAGAGGTCAGAGCTGGAGGAAATATGTAGGAAAACTCACCTGGTGCCAGTGTCGGACAGTGCAATGGATCATACCATTGAGGCAATAGAATCTGGTATTTCTCTTCTTCCGTTGAAACACAGATTCCCATTACAGGCTAGAGTTTAGTATTAATACCTCAAGAATTTCTTTATTTCTCTCACTTGTTTAGGAGTTCTTGATGCTACAACGGTTTTGGAGCAAATTGAGCTACAGATTTCTAAGATCAAAGAGGAATCCTTAAGCCGGAAAGAGGTACTTGAAAAGGTTGAGAAATGGTTAGCTGCATGTGATGAGGAAAGCTGGCTTGAAGAGTACAACAGGGTTAGAGCCGAAACACAAGATTCTTCCTTAGACCACTAAGTTTTTGTTGCAATTTTTACTTTTTCTGCTAAATTTTCTTTCTCTATAGGATGATAACAGATACAATGCTGGAAGAGGAGCTCATCTTGCTCTCAAGCGCGCTGAGAAAGCTCGTAACCTCGTTAACAAACTTCCAGGCAAGTTTGTCCTCCATGTGGTCATACAACTCTCAAGCGACTATGACTTAATCTCTCTTACGTTCTTTCAGGAATGGTTGAGGCATTGGCCTCGAAGACTATAGTGTGGGAACAAGAGAAAGGAATCGAGTTTCTTTACGATGGAGTATGTGTTTTCTACAAAAGGGGGCTGTTATTCTGACTTTTTTGTTTTCTGTTTTCTAATGGCGTATTTGTTTTCTATAGATTCGGCTCCTTTCTATGCTTGAGGAGTATACCATACTGCGTCAGGAGAAAGAAGAAGAACGCCGTAGGCAGCGGGTACAACCATGGCTTCCTGTTCTCTTTTTTACCAATTGCCTTTCCATCAGAACTCGATCATTGGTCGTAATGTACTCTATGTTATGCACTGTTTTACGTATTAAAGGATCAGAAGAAGCTACAAGGACAACTCATAGCAGAACAGGAGGCTCTTTATGGGTCAAAGCCTAGCCCCTCGAAACCCTTGGGCAAAAAGGCTCCTAGAATGTCAACTGGTGGAGCAACCAACCGAAGACTTTCCGTTGGAGGAGGAATGATTCAGACACCTAAACCTAACAAGAAATCTGACCAGATCCTTGAGAGAAACCATGTTAATAATCATCGTCAGATTGATGGCGTCGCAGCTTTATCATCGGGTAAGTTTTCTTCACCAGAATGTTTTATATGTACGTGCTCAAGGTTCAAACACAACTTGAAATGATTTAGTTAGAGTTTTGTGGAAGTGGATTTCTCAATGGGCTGATCAATTTGCAGGAAGGAGAGGTCTGGACATTGCGGGAATTCCCACGAGAAAACTGTCCATAAACTCGTATGATCAGCTTCAATCCCCGCTAGTTCGGAAGCCTTTCTCGCCAATCTCAACTGCAGTGGCATCCAAAGCTAACATAACAGCACCTCCAAACCCGAAAATCAACAGAGAGCCGCCGTTACAGAAGACTCTGATTCCTCCCACGAACGATAACACGCCATTCACAACTCCTCTAAAGAACAGCAGCAAGACACTCTTGGAAGAAGAGAAACATACACCAAAGAATGTTCCTGTAATCCCTGTCCCATGTACACCTGCAACTGTCTCTGTCCCAATGCAAACTGCTGTAACTCCTGCTCCAATTCCACTCCATGCCTCGACACCATTCCCCGCAAGATTGGGTGAAGAGCCCGAGGAAGTAGAGTACTCCTTCGAGGAAAGAAGGCTCGGGTTTGTGGTTCAGAGAACAATGGCTGATCCAGTTGTCCAAGTTTGATCTCTTGCATCAAAGGCGGAGGAAGAAAGAAGCTCACATAAAGAGTGTTGTTGACTTGTACTTGGCTTATGTTTTGTTTCATTTTGCTTTGTTCTTTGCAAGTCTGGGTGGATAGGTCAATTAGGTGATTGGCTTTTTCCTTCCCAAGGCCTTCATTGTATGTTCTTAGGGCTCATGCTTTGGAAATTCATACACATCCCATACAACAAAATGGACTCTTCTATGGACTTTTGGTGTATGCTAATACAAAAATTCAGATAACCTTCTTGGATTCAAGAATAAAATCTTGGAGATATTGCTTCTGGTTATTCGATTTGTAGCCATTATTTAACAATTATTTTATACGACCAATACGCTCGCTTGTACGCTGTAGGAAAGAAACTAGGCGACAGAGGGTAAAATAGTCAAAGTACCAATTTAGTCAACTGTTATGTTGAAGAGTTAGACGGGACAAAGACAGAAAATATGTATGAATTTGGAAATTTGGCATCCCTCAAACGTTACAGCCTTTTTCTCATTTTAATACGGATGAAATATCGCATTTTCCATACAATAATAAAAAACGTATTTTCTTTTTCATAAAATTTAAAATTTTATATTTTTTTTGTCTCTGACCATTTACTTAATTCAATATATTTAACTACTACTAAAATTTCTAATTCCAAGACGGTCGGACGTGGACCGTTTTCTTTATCCCATAGATTTATAATTTTCAAGTTTAGGATAAGCAAAGATTTATTTATTATATATAATTCATGTACCCTTTTCCAAGTTTCTCTCTTTTTATTTCAAAAAAAGGGGAAAAGAAATTACAATATATTTTTTTGTTTATTTTATTAATTAGTTTTATTTATTTATTTTGTCCTTCCATCTTGCAAAACCCTAATTTCACTCACCTGTGAAGAAATTTCCTCCCTTTAACTTAACCACCCATTGAAAAAAAAAAAAAGTATTTCTGGTAATTGTGGAAGTTTTAGGAGAGTTTTTTTTTTCCTGAAATAATTTTCCGCCATGGAAGAAGCTCTGTTCTTTCTCTTCACTTTCTGTGCTTGATCTGTTACTACAACAACATTCTCAAAACAGAAATGTTCATGTCTCTCTCTTCCCTGTCTCGAATCTTACAAGCTCTGGATCTTTCCTTTGTTTGTATGCTCTGTACTTTAAGGTACTTGTAGATACACCCATACCCACAGCTCCGCAAAAGCTCGAATCTTCCGTGATCACCAAGATTCGGCGGTTTTAGGGTGTTTCTGGGTTTTCCATATTTGTCGGAATCTCCTCACCGAATCACTGATCTTATGTCCGAATGGAGGAGAGAGAAGGAACCAAGACTACCGGTTTCGGTCTGAAGGAACATGGAGCTCCTGATGGTTACCTCATGGACCCACCACCACCGCCGGAAAACCCTAACCCTTTCCCGGCTCCGACCGCACCCTCCGCAGCTCCCGTCGTGGCTACGGCGGCGGAGAACGCGGCTCCTCCTTTCAGCTTAACAATGCCGACGGAGAATTCGTCCTCCGACTTGAAGAAGAAGAGAGGACGACCGAGAAAGTACAATCCCGACGGCACACTCGCCGTGGCTCTGTCTCCCATGCCCATCTCGTCATCCGTCCCATTGTCAGCCGAGTTTTCGCCTCGGAAACGTGGAAGAGGAAGAGGAAGAGGACGAGGAAGAGGAAGAGGAATGTCTTCTTCTAGATGGCTCAACAACTCTCAGATGTTCGAATTCGACAACCCAGGTAAATGTTTCAATGTGTAGTTTCTTGTCATTCTCTTTCTCTATAGTGATCGTTGTTCTTTAGCTTGAACCTATGATTATGATGCTGTAGTTAAATCAATGGCCATGCTTTAAGATATATGTATATTTGTGAACCTTTTTATAGATTCTTTCTACTGTGGAACTGGAGTTAGATCTGTGCCAATGCGGGTTTTCGGGTGTTTGACTTGTAAAATGTTTGAACAGAGACAGAATTTTGTCTGATATGCTTGAGAACATAGATGTTACCATCTGCAAGAACAGTTTTACTGGCTAGAAAAATGGATCATGTTCCATAAAAGGTTGAGTGCAAACAACCTGCCCGAAAGACGGAGGCTTACGGGGAGGATTAGAAATGAATCACCTGTACTGTACATTTTCCCGAAAGCTCTTGTATACAACTCTGTATCAGAGGGGCAGAGGCATCAGGATTTTGTCAACTTACAGAGCAACTTGTGATCTGGCTTTAGTTGCATTCTCCTTTTTTTGTTTGGTTTGATTCGGTTTGGTAACTCAGGTCCCTGTTTTCTTGGTGTGGAATATCTTTCTAATGCCGGATCTTTTACAGATTTCACCTCTACTTTGATTCCTTCTCTGATTTCAGGTTCATCAAATGCCAAATTTACAGCAGTGGGAAGTGCAGAGTTTCTTGGTGCGAATTTTACGCCTTACGTGCTCACTGTTAATACCGGTGAGGTATGACCTTGAAGATTCCTTGTACATTTCCTGCAATTTTCTTCATCTTCTTTTGAAAAAAGCCACTCGGTCTACCCACTAGAACATGATGATGAATCGGATTCTTGAGTATATATAACTTTCCTTCAAAATCACCGTATTTTGCAGGATGTGACGATGAAGATAATGGCATTCTCTCAACAAGGTTCTCGTGCTATCTGCATTCTTTCAGCAACCGGTTCCATTTCCAATGTCACACTTCGTCAGTCCATGACTTCCGGTGGTACTCTAACTTACGAGGTCAGCTTTCACTGTCTCCTTCCTCTCAGTCAGTAAAGAATATGCTATTTTTAAATACTTTATTTTATTTATTATATCCACCAGGGTCGTTTCGATATTCTTTCATTGACGGGTTCATTTACTCCAAGCGAGAGTGGAGGAACTCGGAGTAGAGCTGGAGGGATGAGCGTCTCCCTTGCAGGACCAGATGGTCGTGTCTTTGGTGGTGGACTTGCCGGTCTCTTTATCGCTGCTGGTCCTGTTCAGGTTCTTCAGTTTTATCCACACGTTTATACTAAAACCCAAAAGGAAGATTCAAAAGAACTGGCCTTGCTTATATACATGTGCATATGAACACTAAAACTTTGCTTCCATTACATAAATCCCCAGTTCTAACATTGGAAATCGATGTTCCATAGGTTGTGGTCGGGAGTTTTGTAATGGGTGGTCAAGAAGAGCAGCCTCTTCAAAAGAAGCAAAGGAGGCAGACACCTTCTTCTATCTCATTCGGCTCAGCGGAAGAATCTCGAGTTGGATACGAAAGAGTCAAGCCTGTTGTTATTCCCGCAGCACCGCACGTCTCTTCCCATGAAAACCCGGGCCTAACCAACGTCCATAACTACTTCACAAACTCCTCTGACTATGCTAAACACCTGTTCTCGTCCCTTCCCGAAGAAGAAGAAGATGATGATGATGATGACGAAGAAGAAGAAGAAGAAGAAGAAGCTGAAGAATACGGAGGTGAAATCCAATCTGACACAGAAGTTCCCAGCTGATGAGTGTATGTTGTTGTTCAGACCAGTTCCTTTGTAGGCACTTTGACTTGTAACAGGATCTGTGTTTCTTAAGTCCTATGTTTTCTGTCTTCTTTTTAGATATGGGTTTCAGATTTTTGGATGTTTAATTGAGAAATTCATACGGTTTCTCACACTAAGCTAAGAGTTTAGATTAGAGGTCGTAATCTCAGATTCTTTCATGTTTGCTGTTGTAGAAATTCTTGTACGGAAAAGACAGGCCATGCCGTGCAACTCTTCAACTGGATTTACATTTTTTTTTGTTTAGTTTCTTTTTTTTTTTACTTGAGAATAATCCAAAAAATGATCTTTTTTCGAAGCCTTGAAATTTTTGTTCCTTGCATCTTTTTATTTTCATATATGTATATATATATATATATATGCGTGTATGTGTGTGTGTAGTGAAAAGATATGGAAACTCAGAGAAGAAAACACAGTTCCTAAACGACCATAAAAAGAGCAAGTCTTTCACATGATGACCATAGCACTGCGGCTATATATATATATATATTGTATATATTGCCTGTAACACACATAAAGAAGAGAATATAGAAGAAGGACTGCGTTCCAGTGAATATAGAAGAAGGACCTTTTCTCCTTCATGTACTTGAAGAGCTCTTCTTCTTCATGAGCCAAGAAATCAGCAAACATCGATGAGTTCAACGTCAAAGACCAGCCAAGCGTTCGGAGGAATCTGCCCACCCGCACCTTTCTTGCCATACCTGAAAGCATTTAACATTATATAATCATCCAAGCACCTTTCTTGCCATACCTGAAAGCATTTAACATTATATAATCATCCAAACAAACGCCTTCCATTCCATTCCATTCCTTTAACTGATATCGGGTTTTCACGATCTCCTCTCTGGGTTAACGGTCTTTTCTCTATCCCTAATCAAAGCTAGTTTCACAATCATGGAGACAGTCCATAACAGAGGAAAAAAGAAAGCAACAAGCTTTGCCTTACCCCATTGATGGAGGAATTGTAAGCCTTCTTTTCTCACCTACACGCATGCCTGAAGGTGCAACACATGAATCAGGACAGGGTTATCAGAAAATGACGAAGACCAAATCAACAGCCATTCTTTCAACAGAAGATGGAGAACCATAAGAAGTGAAATGAAGATAAGTTACCGTTAACACCGACATCCCATCCCTTAATGACTTGGCCAAGACCTGTGTGTAAACACGAATGGAATAAGTCAAGCATCATCCATGACTTGTATCTCATTCAAAGGTACATAGCATCCTCTAAGGTTAAATTACAAACCTAGCCGAAACTTGAAAGGTGCTTTTCTGACATTGGAATCGAAAATCTTCCCATTTTTCTGAAGCTTTCCGATGTACCGCACGCTGACCTGTACCCCAAGCCCAGAAAGCAAGAACTTTATCGCTCGAGGAAAACATTATAAGGCCAATGAATCTGACTAGAGCCAGAGTCCATTTCCATGTAGGGTTCATCAACTTCTCCATCATCGGATTTTATTTCAAAGACTTTAGCCATGTGTTCTACAAGCGATATGTGTGTGTGTGTGTATATATATCATATGATGCATTTTCTCTGTTTTGAGCAAATTTATGTTGTCTATATCTACATGAGACCAACCTGTTTGCCGGGAGAAGCTCTCTTGCCATCTGGTTTGCCCATGACTAACTCTTCAACAATGAGACCATTAGGGTGTGTTTGCACATGAGATGTCTTGGAGTTCCCTTTATTCCCTTCAGAGACAGAATCTGATTTTTCCTTCTCTTGATTGCTGGAAACAGCTTTATCTGCAGTTCCATCAGCTTCTTGATTCTTGTTCTTGTTTTTATTTTTCTTTTTCTTCTCAGCAGAGTTATTCAGGCTCTTGGAGTTTTCATTCTTATCAGAAGAAACCTGGTTAGTTTCAGGGGTTTCCTCCTTTTGAGCTTGTTCATCTTTTGACCCATTGGCATTCTCCCCTCCTTGCTTTTGCTTCTGTTTCTTCTTCTTTTTGTTCTTGTTGTCACTGGAACAGATTTTAGGAACAAAACTCAAAAACCCAGAATATGTGTCATGTCATCAAGTCTTTACGACTTCATCAGCAGCAATCAAGTGTAAGAGTACCTTTCTAATACACCATCTTGTCCAGTAGCTTTGGCCTTCCGTTTTTTGTTGCTAATTTGGCTGCTGTTATCTGTCCCTTTCTTCTCGGCTGTTTTATCTGCCGGTTTATCTGACTCTCCTTTGGAAATGGGAAAACCATCCTCGTCTTCGCTTTCCAAAACCGGAAACCGATCACTGTCTTTGACAATAGTCTGTTTCTTTGCATCCTTGTCTTCACTAGACTTAGACTGACTCTTCTTCGTGTGTCGTTTTGGCTGAACTTCTTTGACGGGGCTCTCTTCATCTTCTATCTCCTCAATTACAACTGAAGAAATTTTTTTGTCAGCTTCATTTCAACAGTACCACAGAAAGAAAGATCCCACATAACAACCGCTTTTTGTAAACACAAATGCATAGGATGATAGATATCTAGGTCCTTTTGACATACAAATTGCACATTCATATACAAATACATGAGAATATTTGCACATGCGTTTCGCTTTCATGGCCATAAATGTACATGCAAGAATGCATAAACTCTTACTAGTTAAAAAATATCTTCCAACCCGACAACGTGACTAAATTCTGTCAAAACTTACCTCCGCTATTTGGGACAGAAGAAGGCTGATGCATAGCAATATCATCGTCATCGTCAATGAAGTCCTCTTCACTATCACAGTCCTCTTCGCTATCATAGTCAGACGACTCATCAGAGTCGGTTTCAGCAATATCAATGCCATCTCTTATATTGTCGCAGCGAAAACATCAGAAGATTACTAGAAAGAAGATATAAAGATGATTCTCATTTGTTTACGAGAAAAAAACGACAGAAAAGAAAGGATACGAATCATCTTCCCCCTGGAAGGAGTTCTGCTCAAAGTCCTCGAAGTATCCAGAGAGATGGATGCTCCTTTCACCAATCACCGTGAACTCAACTGGCTCGTCATTATCATCAAACACAAGGCTCAAAGGACAGCATTCAGTTTTGTCCGGTAATAACGAGCACAAGTAAATCGGACCCTTATCTCCTGCCGAACATTGGAGCACACTCTTGTCTTTGCCCAAACCCGAGCCTAGAGTAGCCTGAAGGATTTACAAACACAGAGCAAGTTTATGAACAGTTGCACCATCCAAATTCCATCTCAATGAACAACACAAGCAGATTCGATACATTTTTCGAAATAAAATCGTTGATAAAACAGCGTCATGAAATTTGCTACACAGTCGGATACAGATTACACGGGATTCCAAGCAAGAATCTGTTCAGGAGCAATGCCATACCTGAGTTACGTGAAGTTGTCCTTGTACATTGTCATGATCTGGATGATAAGGATGATGTTCCCCGGGTTTCACTTCAAGTCCTACAAACGCGAAAGAGCTTTCAGACAAACAACGAACGTGTTCCAAGAAAATTCAACGCAACAAGAAAAATCAAACCCACGAAAAAAAAAAAGGAAATTGGGGAAAAGGGTATTTCGTTATCATTAATCGGAAAGAGAAACTAACCCCAGAAACCCATTTTCGGCTAGACGTCGAGAAACCTCGTTATTCCGAGAAAAATGGCAGCTTGCTTGTCCTAAAACCCTAGCTTTTAGAGGGTTTATAAAATCACCTCAGTGGGTTTTTTACCCAAACACTTGGTTCGCATCTATTTCATCTGTACACCACCGAAAACATAACACATTTTTTTTCCTGCGAAAAAACGAAATTACTCTTAATGAATTACGATATTTATCCGTTCAAAAACAACTTCGTTATTACGACTTCGTAATTAAGTCTAAATATAGTTACAATTGATTCTAAAAAAGGTGGCAAAAAATCATCTATCTTATTTTTAGTTATATATCAGTTATATGTTAATCGTAATAAAGTCGCAAAAAATAAAACGAAAAGGGTATTTCAGACTTTTTTCATCGAAAAGTGGGTTAAAATTGAAAATTTTTTTTTTGTTTCTGGGTGGTGTACAGTGAAATAGATGGGACCCAAGTGGGTTATTTGGTGATTTTCACCTCAGGTGTTACCGTCTATGGCTTCGACATTTGACTTCGTTACTCATACCATTGACTATACGGCTAGACCGTGACGTCACCTCTCTGTTTAGGCTAAATTTTCACTTGGCCCAAGAAACCATGAAAACCATGAAAAAGCTCATTAATATTTTTGGATATTTTTCTGAATTTTTTTTAGATGATTTCTTATTGCATTTTCCATCAGTTTTGCCAACAATGCACTTTTTTTATATATATTTTCAGAATTTGATTTTTTTTTTCATTTCGTTTATGAGAATATTGTGTTATCATTTACATATATGAAATATTATACAATTTCCAGAAAAAAAAATGGGTTTTCAACAATTTTATCATTTTATTCGAATCCCATAAAGAAAGTGATAACCAATTTAAATTGCACACACCATTTTGTAGAAGAAATCGGTAGTAACGTAGATAATAATTTTTAATTTGTCCAAAACAAAAACCGGCGACGTGACGGATAGATAATAAACATAATGTAATATTTATATAGATGCACAACCTTTCAACTAAAGAAGTAATAAACCCATAACCAAAAAAAAAACAAAAAACAAAAGAACCAGAACAAAGACTTGTCTGAACTGAAAATACACACAACCGGACAAGATCTAGGCTCCGACCTGTGAACTGGCCGCCTCCATCAACCCATTACGTATCTGGTCGCTGATATCCCTAACATGGCCCGGCCCGTGCGGGAGAAACACGGTCGTGTTCTTGGACGAGTTCCCGAGGTCTCTGATCGTGTCGAAGTACTGAGTCACCATGATCAAGTCCATCACTTCCTTGGCAGATGTCCCTTCTACTTTGTGCGAGAAGTTCAGTATGTTCTCCCTCAATCCGTCCGTGATCGCTTGCCTCTGCCTCGCCACCCCGACCCCGCCCAGATACTTGGCCTCGGCTTCCGCCTCCGCTTTCTTCACTTGCAGAATCTTCTCTGCCTCTCCTTTGTAAACGCTCGCAAGTTGTAGCCTTTGAGCTGTGCCCACCACAATCCATTCTCAGGTTTATCGTGAAAAAGAGTTAAATCTATCTCTCGGAGAAGCCAAATGAAATGAAATTCGATTTTGCAGAATTGCCCCCCATTTCAAATGAATAAAAGGTAAAGAGTTTGGATGCTTTAGAGAGAATCATAACAAGAGGAACAAAAAGAAAACAAGCCCCAGAGTGAATTCATACTATAGTATCCTATAATCTTATTATAAACCATGACATGCGACAAATACAATACGTTTCCATATGTATAAGCATCAGAAGAGACCGGAAAACATGACAAGTTACTTGCTTGGAAGGCCAAAATAAAATTACCGGCGTTGATTTCATTCATTGCCCTTCGTACAGAGGGATCGGGCAGAATGTCAACCATCAGAATGTGCTCAATGCTGTATCCGTAAGCTCCCATCACCTGACGAAACAATTGCAAACATAAGCGGCGCTACAAAGCTAGAGAAATATCCCCTCACCATTCAGCATTACATGGCACTGTACAAATGGAAAATGTTCAACGCAATCTTAATAACAGTCTTGAACAATATCAAGTTGATAATGCTCTTCTACAGCTTAAAATCATTTATAGGATATCTCAAATGCAAGAACAAGATGTAGAAGAGGAATATCATCCATTGATTCCAACATTTATGAAAAAAACACTAATGATACATATAATCCAAGACAATGGAGTGTTACCTTCTCGAGTTCCTCAAGAACAGCCTTGGCGACTTCACCCTTCTGCTCGAAGAGCTCATCCAGCGTCATCCTTGGGACTAAAGCTCTGACCACTTTGATCGGAAACCAAACATACAGAGACAAAGTAAGAATCAAAGAGAAACATATCTCAACAAAATGTCCGAAAGAACCAGAATTTACCATCAAAGACATAAGCCTGGATCTGCTCCCTAGGGTTTTGAAGCTCGTAGAACGCATCATCGGCATTTGCTTTCACTACACGAAACTGAATTGAGCAAACCAACTGCACAAATACATTATCCTGCAACCCACAACACTTGTTGATTAGTACCAGTTTAGAAACAGATTAAACAATGATATCAAACTTTTTTCTCTGTTCGGGGGAAGAAACCCCAAATACAAATAGGTGTCATGAATTCGAGGGAAACCCATGATCAATTGCTCCTTACAAATGGGTATCGTGAATTCAAACCAAAATATGGAATTCTCCGACAAATCGAACAGAAAGAGACAATTCCGAGATGGGATTACGCGGAAAATCCGAACGATTAAAGGAAGAGCGATCAGAGAGAGAGAGGGACCTTGGTTTTGGTCTCGATTTTGACGTCGAGAGAATTGATCCTGGTGGAGAGAACACCGGCAAGCCACTGGCCGGCGAAAGGGTTGAAGCAGTGGAAACCAGGCTCGGCGAGGCGCTCGAACCGCCCCCACCGCTCCACCACGCCGACGCTCGCTTGATCTACGCACCCTCCGAATACGCAGAACGTGTTCCCCATCTCTCTCCCTCAAAATTCTACGCGGCAGTGAAGCGCTGAAGGTTTTGAGGATGGCAAAACTGAAAAAAAGGTCCAAGGGCCCCACGATTCACTCGCCGGAATAGAGAAAATGATATGGTGGAGCAGGTCCATTTCAGTTACGGTAGACCAAAGCGTTTCTTAGCCATCAGATTAAGAGGCGCCGACGTGGTCATAGAAACGGACGGTCAAAGTAATATTTGCAGTTGCAGGTGATTTCGCTCTCTATAAGATCTTAGTAATATCTTCATCGTTTTGTATTTTGGAAAAAGTATATGATGGACCCAATTTTCCTCATATTTGTTTCAAATTGCTCTTTTTTATCTACATAAACCTGTTGACTAATTGCTAATTGCCACATTTCTGGGCACGTTTGGCCTTTTGCTACTAGGCTGAAACTTTGCTACAAATAATAATAATAAAGATAAACCATATCAAATCTTATGGTGCTTTACACAAAAAAGAATTATTTTCTTGTGGTAGGGAAAAATAATGATGGTCAAATTAAAATAACACATGAAAATTTGACAATCCTAAAATTAGTACATAATCTCCACCTGATATTAGTACAAATCAAGAACAATAGTTTGGAGACTAGAGATGTGGTCTGTTCAGGTTCGGTTATGTTGTTCGCAGAGACATGAAATGGGAAATGGTATGGAGGGAGCTTATGACATGTTTCTCGTTTTATGAATATCCAAGATTACCCCCTGACGGATCGGTTATATCACACCAAGGCCCATTAGTTCTTTGGGCTTTTCCATCTGGGCCTACTTTGATTAAAACGGCCCATTGCTATAGTTCAGGAGTCTGTCAACGAAAACGCCACGCATGTCACCAGCGAAAACGGCACACAGCTTCATACGCTGCAGTCTGTACAATGATAAATATACAACAACAGTAGCAAAACAGTTCTGTCTGAACCTCAGCGACGTCTGCCTCTCTTGTATGCATCCATGGCTTATCATTTTTGCTCCTTGAGCTTCTCGTTCTGTACGTACTTTAGAACTCCGTATGCAACCGTCCCAGCCACAAACAATCCAACCGTTGGAGTAAAAACCGGGTACAAGTACTTCACAAAGAACTTATCCCACTCTTCTGGGAGGAAGCCTGTGGAAACAGGAGACAACAAAAAGGTAAACAAAAATTACACAACTCTTTGTCCTGCTGAGAAGTTCCAACAAAGTGGGAACCTTCTGTCTGAACTCAGCATTGCATATCTACACCAAAAGCTCGACCTTTTGATGTTCAGATTAATAAATCATAGTGAATGCGTATTCCTCCAAGACAGAAACATTCAAGATAAAACAAACATACACCGGCAAAAGGGGAAACAAGAGAAACAAAGAGGACACTAGCATGACTATCGAATAGGATCCGACCAAGAACGGGAATATACCAAACCAGACAGTAGATACCAAACTTCATATTATTTTATTGTTCTGGAGACTCTTAAGATCATTGATGCCCTGAAGAATGTTGTGAGGAAATCAGCTGAATCTACTTGATTCTGTTAGTAATTGTCAGATTACACAATTTGCTTTTGGATTTCTATCTATCCCTAATCTGCGGCCTTTCATCTGGAATTCTGTTCTCGGTTGTAAAGATGGATTCGGAACGAACAACAATGGCACCAATCCAGTGCAAAATCCGCTCATCAACGAAGTAAATCAAACTCACATTACGCCATTCCATGGAATCCTTAATCAATACATGGACCCAACTGAATCATTAGAACCCAAATGACGCATCTAAGTTCATGATTTTCTACCATAATCACCGAATCAACCATTTACGAGCACTTCTTTACGACTGTCCGAAATTACCTGAAGCCGCAAGAACAATCCCTTCGATGAGAATGATCCCACCGAGCCCCAACCACGCGAGAAGGAAGGCGCTCTCGTTCCGTCTCTGCTCTTCGGCCTTGGCCGCCTCCTCCTCGGTCGCGAACACAGGTTTCTCCACCGGAGAACGTCTAACCACCACTCTCTTACCTTTCGTCTTCTTCTTACCGCTCACGGGCACTGAATTCGACTTCTTCGCCGTAGAAGCAGCGTCAGAAGACGAACTCGAGGACCCGAACCCGAGGCCTGAGGAACCAGATTTCTTGGGTGTTTCCGGATCCTCGGATGTATCGGTTTCGATTTGGGAATTCTGGGATTTGATTGCGAAATTAGGGTTTCTGCTAGAAAAGAGACGATGAAGATGATAGGGTTTGGGGGCGAAGAAACATGCTTGTAGCGCCATTTTCAGTTTATTTAGTTTAAGCGATAACGTTATGTAAACAAAATTTATACTCGGACTTCTCCTGAGATATACGACGCCGTTTCATGTTCTGTTCCGACCATAAGTTGCGTGCCGTTTTTTGACAAACTACGCGTCGTTTTTATTTTGTTTAAAAAGGTACCTCATTCAACACAAAATACCTAACACAGACTTGAACGAGTCTTCACCTCTGGACCTCCGAAACAATAGGTAGGAAAACTCTGAAGAATTTGGGATTCAAATCCTAATCTCCGCCGCTTCAAAGTTCTCGATTCAGGTACTCTTCTCTTCCCGATTTCCCTCTGTTTTGACTTGATTTTTTTTTCCTGTGATCTCATTCATCACTGCATCGTTGAGGAAAAGAAGAAAACCTTGCCACTTGTTGTGTAATGTTCTGTCTGCAGCGGAGCCTCAGTGAACATGAGTGACCACACTGTTGTTCAAAGTGTTAAGAATGAGAAAATTGCAGATGATGAAAAGAGAGTTTCACACTCAGATGAACATGGCTTATTCCCGAAGAAACGTCAGAAGCGTATTCATCACTCAAGTTGTGAGCTCCCTAGTTTTCAAGATATGAATTGGTACATCTTTCGAGAGGATTTGGAGGAAGCAGAGAAATATGTGAAGAGGGTAAAGGATTCATGGCCGGTTACCGGATGCAGTATTCTATTGGATTCATGGGTTGATGCTAATGGTCGTGACCTTGTTGCTTTTATCGCGGATTGCCCCGAGGGTTCGGTGTATCTGAAATCCTACGATGTTTCTAGTATAAAAGACGATATAGATGCTTTGGTTCTAATGATCGATGAAATTGTTGCGAAAGTTGGGGGAACACATAATGTCGTTCAAGTCATCAGTTGTTCAGAATCCGGTTGGGTAGGTGAATTAGGCAAGTGGTTTCAAGAGAACCAACAGGAGATTTTCTGGTCTGTTAGTGTATCTCGTTGCTTCGAGCTTATGCTGGATAAGATTGGAGCGTTGGATTTCGTAATTGACACGCTTCAAAAGTTCAAGAACATCTCCGAATTCATCCACAGTGATCCTTCTGTCTTGAAGTTTTTTGGTGATCATAGTCATGCAAAAGAGCTCACTGTCTTGCTCAAGAATAAATCGGCTACGCCTTATTTGATTTTAGAGAAGGTTTTAACGGCGAGGAATGCTTTGACCTCCATGTTCACATCATCTGAGTGGAAAAACATGGTCTGGGCTTCGACAGGAGAGGGAATAAGAGCAGCCAGTTTGGTGGTGGATGACGCATCTTTTTGGAACAATGCCGAGACAGTTATATCACGTGTACAATGCCTCTTGTCCATGCTCTACTCTTGGTCACTGACACTGACAATCCAAAAGGTGGACTTATCACATTGGTTAAAACCAAAGCGATAATCCAGAGGGCTCTTAATCACGAGACAAGCGGTTTCAAAGCTGCGTGGGATATAATAGATCAAATCTGGAACGCTCATCTTCGTAACCCTCTTCATGTGGCTGGATACTTTTTGAACCCGTTTGCATTGTACTCAACAGACTTCCATTTTGATCGAGAAGTTTCCTTTGGTCTCATTTCGTCTCTGATCCCTATGGTAAAAGAGCGGAGTGCACAGTTGGAAGTTCGAAAGCAGCTTGATACGTATATATGCGGTAAAGATTTCTTTCTGAAGCTCAACCGTGAAATCATCTCTAGAATTTCTCCAGGTATAAAAGTCTTCCTACTCGTTGATTTGATGGTAATATAGCATATAGTTGTATTAAGCTATCATATTTGACGAAAGGAGCAAACTTTTGTTTGTTGAGTACATGAATGAAGTCATGAACAAAGGGTTGCCATTGTGTTTGCAGTTGAATGGTGGTCTCGGTATGCGAATCAGTTACCGGTGTTAAAGAGTGTTGCCATTAAAATTCTGAGCCAAACGTGTGAAGGTGCATCAAGATTCAGGCTGAGGAGGATGGTAGCAGAGAAGGTGATCGCCGGAGGTAAGAGCCATGGTGAACAAAAACATCTGGAAAACTTTGAGTTTGTTCATTACAACTTGTATCTTCGGGAATCAAGACAAAAGCCGATACCGATGCCAGAGCCCAGAGCAGTTGGAACTATCCATAGTAATCTAGGAGATTTGAAGGTTGGAAGTAGTGTTTCCTCTACTCTGCAAAAGGGATTTGCTTTTTGGCTGCAGAGATGAGAAAGAGAGTGGCATTGGGGAAACAAGATGGTGATTCTCAATACACATCTCTGCTCAATTCATGAGCCATCCTGTTTCAAATCAGCTATCCATTTACAGGATTTCAATCTCATACATTCATAGCCAAGAAAAATACCACTCCACTGTGGGATGGGATGCAACATCAACATTCAATATCCATTGGATCAGAAAACCGAATCTTCTTCACCACCCAGACTAGGCTTCAGCCTTTTTGTGCTGTTGGCATCCACAAGGACCAAAGTTAATGCGTGTAAATTGTGCAGGTTAAGAGCTTCTAGAAGCACAGTCTGTCTGGTCTGAATATGGCTGCAATTTTATTTTATTTTTATTTTATTTTTGAAAAATCTGGAATGAAGAGATATCTCTATGCCTTGATTGCATATTGTGGGATACAAGAATAACAATGCCAAACCCCATCAAACATACAGGTATTTATTTGGCAGTATACAGATCACTGAAAGCACAACTCTTATCCTTCCTTATCCCTCTCTTTCTGGCTGTCCGAAACAGAGACAACAAAAACACATATAGCTGACTAGTTCCCATCAAATTGGAAAATCTTCTGTCCGAATTCAGCACTGCATGGAAACTCGAACCATGAAGACTGATGACACAACGAATGCGATAAGCTTTCAAATTCTTCCACTTGTTGTTTGAAGACTCTTAAGATAGGAATGATATTTAGAAATCAGTTGATTCTACGTTTCTCTAAAGACAAATCATCAATCGCGTGCCATTACTGTTCAGACAACATGCGGACGAAGTCCATTGTCGCTATAGTCTCAGCTCATCTAGCAGGCAAGCAGTGTCGGGAACGATGCCTCCATCGCGGAAACTGATGATGTCTTGACCAGATAGATCCTTGAGAAGCTCGCCCGGATCCTTGGCCCCTCCGTGCCTGAAGAACTTCTCTCTCAGAGCTCTTCCAGTGCTCGGCGAGAGCGGATCCTCTTCGCATATTTTCCGCCATGCCGTCGATGCAAAACACTTTGCGTACAAATAGCTATAGTAGCCTGTGTATACAGATGTGTAGATATACCATCAGGTTCATACTATGTAAGTACGTACGAATACATCCATTTATACCGTATTTTGTGTATACCTGCACCGTAGTTGAGGAGGTGAGAGAATCGTATGTGCCAATGTGTTCCCTCCACATGTTTCCAGCTCGTATGCTGCTGTTTCAGACCGGACACGAGGGAACTCACGTCTCTTCCTATTCCTATCTCGGGTTGTTCCCCGAACATCATCTGGTCGATCAACGCGTAAAACACCTACCAAAACATCAAAGCTGAATGTTACTGCCACTCTCTCACCCTCCTTAATCGAAGTATAATCGAAGAATGGTTCGAACCTGACGTTGCAGATCAGTTGCCGCGAACATGTTCTTCGCTCCTTGTAATGATTCCACCAACTTCTTGGGAATTGTCTCACCAGTTGAATAGTGCCGAGCGAATCTCTTCAGGAGCCGATAGTCCCATGCATAGTATCTGAAACTCCGAGATTGAGTGACAGTGAAACTAAATTCTCAGGTAATATCGGGAATCAGGGTTTGATACTCACTCGAGTAGATTTGAAGGCATTTCTGCTAAGTCAAGAACTACACGGGTACCCGAGAAATGTTGGTAATCCTGCAAATTTCCATAAACAAGAGCAGTTCAGGAAATCGGGAGCGTAAATGATGTGGATTATGATAAACTTTCCAAAACAAGACGATTGTATAGAGTACCGTTCGTGAGAGCAGGGAGTGAAGTGCGTGTCCAAACTCATGAAACAGGACTTCAACCTCGGAATGGTTAAGCTTCACGGTTGATGTGTCACGTGTTCGGGAAAAGTTGCAAACAAGAGCCAAAATCTGCAATGGAACAACAGGCAAACATGTATCGGGTATGGAAAGAAAACATTATGGGAAGAGAGCAGAAGCGGAAGTGATTTAGCATACGGGAAGTTGGTATTCAGACTCGGAGATTCTGCGTCCTCCTTTGATGGCAAAGCAAGCACATCCTGGATACTTGCCCTTCCTCGAGTACAAGTCAAGGTAAAGAAACCCAAGATCACCCTGTAACAGACAAAACAACACACTTATGTTTTTTTTTTTCAGGAAAAAAAAAACAGAAACTGTAAGAAAAACTCATCAGGTTTCACCTGCTGGTTACATTCAAGAAAGAAGTACCTCGTCAGGGTGATGAAGAGACAATTTAAGCACGTCTGGGTGCCACGATTCACCCGGAGCCAGAGGAACGGTATAAAATGTTGCACCGAATAATGATTCAACGAGAATTTTTAGGCCTTCGATACACAGTGGCAGAGGAAAATATGATGCTACAACCTGCAAACGAAAATTCCAAGAAGAATTTCGCAATCAGAGTCTTTAGCAGAGGAAAATAGAGATGAGACAGAAAAACACAAACAGCAACAAAACTTACATTACTGTCCAGATCATAAGCAGATGACTTCATTATGGCTGTGTAGTAAGTCTCATCCCATGGTTCTAACTCTGCAACTGCCTGACCACATTTCTGTCTTTTAAAATCTCTGATGGCCCTGAATTCCTACAGAGACAGGAACTGGTAAGAGCCTTAACTTCGGTCATCAGCCATAAACATGCCTTCCAGAAATAACGGGAAATGCCCATATCGTATTCATACCTCATCTGCCTTTGGCTTGACGGTCTTGCTTAGTTCTTGCAGGAAGGATGTTACAACATTTGGTGATTTCGCCAGATTTGGCTCTACCATAAATTCAGCATAAGATTTACACCCCATTATCTGGATGCAGCAACAAAAAAAAAAGCATATGACAAGAAATCGGTAGGAACCATTTGAAATTGAAAAGGGTAATGAGCTAACCTGGGCAAGCTCGTGGCGTGCAGCAATGAGTTTCTCAAGAACTCCATGATTTGCCTGAGGAACAGAGTTCCCTTCAATATACACCATCTTCCTAATCTGCAAAGAGATAAGCATCACCATGATAAAACAGCAGAGTGAATATGGATTCATCTTTGCCATATCTCAAACGTTCCTAAAAAAGTAAATATGTACCTCTTCATCCGGTGTCCATTGCAAAACAGAGGAAACGGTCCGTGCATCAGTCATTATACGGTATCCCTTCTCTTTTCTGTTATGAAATAATCTTGAAGACCCCCTTGGCCCCTCAGAAGTAGATCGATGTATCGGGCTAAGAAGATGATGCAGATGTTTGGGGATACGTGATGAAGGGAACACATCAACATGACCAGGATCATCGGCAATATTTTCACTGAACCTGAAGAAAGATTCATTATAAAGAAGTTACCATAAACAATGCTGGAAAAAAACCCTCTAACTCTTCATTACTTAAAGAATTCAGACCGGTACTTTTAATACTTACACTCTGCACAACTGGAAAATGTCTATGGTTAAGTGATTCACTTTGTCTAGTTTCTCTGCAGAAAGAAGAAGGATGCTCAGATTCAGAAGAGGTAACCATCATTGAGAGTTAAGGATCAACCATGGTAAAATCACAAACCGGGGTTTAGATGGATTCCACCACGTTCAAAGTCCATCCGGAGGTGGTGAGCTGTTCTAGACGCTTCTGTAGAAAGCAAGCTAGCATCTTGCTCTGCTTTTTTCACCGCATGATACAAAGAATGGTTTGTATTCAGATACTGAACGTAAAAAAAAAACAACAGACCAGTTAGCTGTAACAGTTCATGCAATTACAGAAGCCTGAGCAGGAGCAGATAAACCGGGTCCTGGGATTCAAGAATGATCATACAACACAATTTCGGGCATTGATCCTAACTTCATGACATAAGATTTACTTCGCAAGTTTATAAGGTTGACAGGACAAAGATATTCAGACTGAGTCACTGAGGTCCTAATAACATTATCTTGACAAAGTGAAGTTTACCTATTCATATCCTCTTTCTCAGGAGCCCCTAGTAAAATAAGAATTCTAGGATTAGGTATTTGTAATATAGATTCGACACTAGCTCTTATGCCTTTACTACAGTCTAAGGGTGTTTTAAGATTCAAATGCTTATACGGGCAAAAGAAAAATCAAAGATCAAATCCTTGGTCACCTCACATGCAGATATTCGTTCATCCTTACTGCTGCTTTGTGAGCTTCCTCAACATATTCCCTAACGAAATAAGCGAAGAACCGAAATAAGTAGAAGAAACATAAATAAACATGTATTCAAGAATCAGAACTAGACCAAGAAAAAAGAAACCTGTCTGGATGCGTTTGTCTGCAGAGTTCAGCCGAGTCAACAACAGAACAAACCTAAAGGGTCAGGAAGATGGAACTCATAACAAGAACTAGAAAAGCTAATACCGAAGAACACCCAACCAATACGAAAGCTTCACCGTCGAAACAGTGAGGTCATACCGTGTCTGAAATCTCGTCCATTGCCCGTATGATTTCTGCAGATGACGGCATTCTTGATATGTAACTCACCAACTCGCCCGACCTATGAATAACATTTCCAATACATTTTACCAGCAACCAAAAAGAGCAACATTTCGGGTTTTTTCAAAGATTATTAATGTCAAAATAAGAGCTTATTCGTGGCATTTTGAGTTCCCAAACCCAATGGCATTCTCTTGGGGATGGGTTTTTTCTACAAATTCATTGCTATTTTTCAGCAATCAAAACAGAAGGAAACAAACTCAAGTATACAACAGCTCTCCATCCAAATCGTATTTCCTCTATTTTCCTTATCCTACCCAGAAATCCATGGAGCAGGAACGATTTAGCCAAAGGGAACCCACTTCATTGCAAAACACGAACAGTAGTAATCGAAAAAAGACAGCCACAAAAGCTAATCAATACTCAACATCTTCTTTTCTACACATCCGAAATTTTCCGTCACTTTCCCTGGGAACAAACACACGCAAAGATCCAACCTTTCGATAGCATCGGCGACGAAGCGTTGAAACCCTTTGGCCGTCTTGAGATGATCAAAGCCATAGAGTCCGGTGGCATCTCCGTCGGCGCGGCTCCGGAAGTTGCGGATAATCCGGCGACCGGAATTGAAAGGCGGCCGCATTCGTCGCGTCAGTCTCCACATTTTCTGCTGCTGCTTCGGTGGGAGACTGCGCAGGCGCTCTTGTATATTCGGAATTTAGATCAATGGGCTTTATTTTCTGTATGGCTCAAATAATTTTTTCGCTTCGGCACGTTGGGCCCAAAAAATTCCAATTCGAAGAAAATTATATAATTCTTTGGACTAAATAAATTAATATATATATATATATATATATATGTATTTATGTTTCGAAAAATATGAATAAACAACAAGATATCTAGGGATTTAAGTTCTTTTTTTTCACGACATCAAATATCTCGACTATGGATCGGTGGATATATTTTGATCCCAATTTGGTATGGTTATTTTCAATGAAAACTTAAATACGATCAAGAAACGCCTAAAAAAGACATTGGAGGAGGAAAACAGATCCACAAGAGTGGCATTAGAATCAACCACTTACATCTGCAGGAGAGTTCCTGGAAATTTTCAGACATAAAACATTGTTCTTGAAACACTTACCTTCTTTAACAAGTAAGTAAACTCACAGTTCATGTACAGAACTTGAACTCCAAAGCCCTTCTTTAATCATCATTAACGAACCAATTGAAATTTTAGGCTTTTTTTGTTGTTGTTGTTGTTCCAATGCCAATCTCTCCAATAATTTCCAATAAAAGTATACTTCCCTCCATTTTTTTTTCCAACTAAAAAAAGGCAGAGGAAAGGAAGAAGATAGATGGCTACCGTACAAAACCCAAGCTTTTCTTGTTCGTCGTTGTCTTCCTTATCCACATATTGTTCTTCTAAACGCAAGAAACCCAGACACCACCAGAAACTGCTGAAGCAAAAGCAGATTCAAGAAGGCAACAATGGAACCGCTTCTCTCTCTTTCAAGAAACCATCCCCAACACCAATCTTGATCCGTCAACCGCTCATCCACCGGACCAAACTCGAAGCCCTCGACGCTGTCGTCTCGGACATCGAAACCTCTGCCCGGAAAGGGATTTCGGTCAGCGACCCGGAGATCTTCGCCTCTCTTCTCGAGACTTGCTGCACCTTGCGAGCCATCGATCATGGCATTAGAGTTCATCGCCTTATACCCGACAACCTATCGCGCAAAAACTTGGGGATTTCATCGAAGCTTGTCAGGTTGTACGCTTCCTGTGGGTTAACGGAGATTGCCCATGAAGTGTTCGATCAAATGTCTAAGAGAAAGGCATCGGCTTTTGCCTGGAACTCGCTTATCTCAGGCTACACCGAATCGGGTCAGTACGAGGATGCCATGGCTATGTACTTCCAAATGGTCGAAGAAGGTGTGAAACCAGACCAGTTCACTTTCCCTCGTGTCTTGAAGGCTTGCGGAAGAATCGGTTGGATCCGGATTGGCGAGGCAGTTCACCGCGATTTGGTTAAGGAAGGCTTTGGATATGACGGGTTTGTGCTCAATGCCCTTGTGAATATGTACGCAAAATGTGGTGACATTGTCAAGGCCAGGAGGGTTTTCGACAAGATTTGTCTCAAGGACTCGGTTTCATGGAATTCCATGTTGAATGGTTACATCCGCCATGGATTGTTACACGAGGCGGTAGAGATCTTTCGTCTCATGGTTATGGATCGCTTCGAGCCTGATGCCATATCGATTTCCAGCATTTTAGCCGGTGTTTCCTCATTTGAGCATGGATGCCAACTCCATGGATGGGCGATAAGGCGAGGAGTGGAGCAGGAGTTGTCTGTTGCCAATGCTTTGATTGTTCTCTATTCGAAAACAGGACAACTTGTTCGAGCTCGTAGGGTGTTCGATCACATGCTCGAGAAAGATACCGTGTCTTGGAACTCTATCATCTCTGCTCATTCGAAAGATGGTAGAGGTTTGATGTATTTCGAGCAGATGCAGAGTTCGAATGCAAGACCTGACGGTATCACATTTGTATCAGTTCTTTCCCTCTGTGCTAATACAGGACGGGTTGAAGAAGGCGAGAGGTTATTCTCGTTGATGACACGGAAATACGGGATAAACCCGAGAATGGAGCACTATGCGTGTATGGTGAACCTGTATGGTCGGGCAGGGATGGTGAAGAAGGCATACTCGATGATAGTTCACGAGATGGGGTTCGAAGCTGGACCAACCGTATGGGGAGCTCTGTTGTATGCGTGTTACATTCATGGCGATTCGGATATCGGAGAGATTGCTGGGAAACGTCTTTTCGAGTTGGAACCCGATAACGAGCACAACTTTGAGCTGATGATGAAAATTTATGGCAAGGAAAAGAGGGCAGAGGACGTTGAGAGAGTACGGAAGATGATGGTGGATAGAGGGTTGTAGAGACAGACATAAACCTCCTCCATTGTCAGTCCGGGTCTTGTCTGAAAATATCTTAACTCGGGCTTCAGTTCCTGCAAGTCGGGGAACACGAAGATCAGAAAGCATGTCATAACATCCGTTAAACTCGAAGCCAGTTCTTGTGTCCGACCCAAAATTGCAAAAGTAGACATACATTTTTCTGATTGTGAGGCATCATCACGCCCTGACCTGATTTCTGCTTCCAGTCTCTTTTGTCGTACCTAAACGTGATCGAGAAGCGTTCATGCCAACTTGCCGAGACTGCATTGGCAGTGAGCCTCGGCCGAGAAAGATCAACCAAAACTTATATTTCCCAAATGATTGACTACAAGGGAATCACCAAGAGACAGCCCACTAATCTGTCTTAGACCGTGGAGAGGAGATGAAAGCATCGGCTGATATTGTCATAGAAGGATGCTGAATCACAGATGTTTCACTGTATTTAACTTTTATTAAAGAAGAAGAAATCATTATCAAACATGAATAATCAGTCCATCCTAAAGCAATTTCTCTTCAGCATGGGAGATTCTGTTTCATATTGTATCATCTATTATTATTCTTCCTTTTTCACTCGGAGAAGAAACGCAATTAATTTACTATTGTATTAGTCCCATGGAAAAACTAAAAATGGCAGGTAAAAATAATGTTGGACAACAAGAACATCTTAAACATTCAACTTTAGATAAGCTGTTGAGTTCAAGTTCTTCATCTTCAGACATGAGATTAACATAGAACTCGATCACCGGTTTCAAGACAAGAAAAATTCTATCACAGAGTTTTCTTAGGGGGAGACATATTACTCACAAGAGAACTTGTTGTAATGATCGCGAATATCTGCACCAACGCTCCTGCAGGATACCAAACATATTTGTTATTGAAGGTAAATAATAGTCAATGTATAACAGAAACTGCATCCCGGTTTATAGGTTGCACACATCAAGAACATTGTGCTGTTTTTACCAAAAAAATAAAAGAACATTGTGATGTTACCTAGTTGAGCACAAGCAAACTCTATAAGCTCGAATTTCCCCGTTGTTTCTGAGTTTTCTCGTTCCTGTAGCATACATCAAGAGAAGAGTCAGGAGAACACTATCCAGTTTTCAGAGAGTAATTAACTGTTTCTCAGAATCTCAACACGCAATTTTCAGTTGATTTAATTTATTTCTTAAACCCCGACCATTGTGGGTTTTTTCTCATGTTTTTAAGATCTTAAACGCCTGAAAGCTAGAACTGTATAACACTACAAGACAATCAACCTGCAAAGAAGGGTGTGTCGTTAATAGAGCAACAAAGTCAAGTCCGTCGCGATTCAACTGATTTACCTCCATCGTTAGCCTGTTCTTAACAGCACAAAACACCGAGAGAACAACAGCAACCGAAGATGCAGCCATGTAGACCCTCAAAAATATCGCTCGGCTGCGTCTACGACCTTGCACAGAAAACAAAAAAAAAACTAAGTAAAGATGGCAACCCGAATGAAAGGAAAAAAGATTGATTATCATGGAGGGAAAAAGTGGCTGAAAACATATATAGATCCGACGACTAACCTAATTCTCCTATCAAGGAAGACACTAGACCGATACCAGCAGCTGAAACTGCAAGAATATTCCTCTCCTCCTCCGCTTTAGTAGTTAGAAATGCAAGCGACAGTCCAACCAAATAAAACACGGCCTGCAGAAAGAAATCAAAGGCTTTGCAACCGGAACGAATCTATAGCCAGAACAAATGCTCGAATGAACGAGAATCACACAGACTCAAACTTCACTAAGTGGAATGATTTAAACTTGAATTCATTTTATCAGCTAGGACATACGATCCATGCATTGCATGCTTCTATATAATACATTGAATTGCTAGAGATCGAATGCAAAAGAATATCAGCGCAATAGTGTTTCATAATTCGCCACTCCAAACCAAATCTTGAAACGAAGTTACTCCATTCGTCGCGGAAATAACAAGATATCAAGAAATCGTAGAGCTTCGCAAGGCATCACATAATCGAATTCAGATTCAAGGTACATCTCATTTAATCCACAACAAAGCACAAACAGAGGAGAAACGAAACGAACAATCCAAATCCAAACGGATTCTCTTCCTCACAAATCCAATTCGATTTGTACCTGAACGAGGATCAGAGCTCGAAGATGAGACTTCCCTTTCGCCACCTTCGTGTAACCTAAGAGAAATGAGCAGCACAAATCAACGAGAGAAATGAATCGGAGAAGGAGGAGAATTTCGAAACTCACGAGAATCAACGACCATTCGGTAAGAGAAATCAGAGCCGTCAGTGCCGGAAGGCCTGCCCGCCGGCGTCCTCTGCTGCATCTTCTCCGTCTTCTTTTTTCCGACGAACCTAGCCTTTGACTCGACGCGGCGACAATCGGAGAGATTAAATCCAACATTTCCAGACCATCGAACTTGAGACTTGGGCCTAATTTGTGGCCCATTGGCCGAATTTTAGGGTATGACCCGAATTTTGCGTATATGGGCCAATTTTTGGGCTTATCGGGAAAAAGAGAGTAGTCCAGTACGAAATCGCGGTCGGCCGGAGCCAATCTCGCGGTGGCCCGAAAGACGGATTGGGGCGTTTCCGTACGGGTAAGATGACGTCAGCCAGATTCAAGATAAACGTGAAGAGAGGGGTATATCCGGAAAATATTTATACATATATAATTATATATATAAGTTATATTGCATTGTACTATTCTCACGAGTATTTGAAATTTACGTCAAGTTTTCACTTTCGCGAATCTTTTCAAAGGAAAAACCACATTGTGTCCTCCAGCTCATTACTCTCACTTCTTAGGCATAGAGAAAGGCCTCCACTTCAAAGCCAAGGGCATAACCTTCAGGAGCACGGCCGGTTCCGACAAGGGACCGGTTCGTGGCTCTCCAGTCGGCTTCCGACCAAGCCCTATACATCTGTACGGTCAAGGAGGTTCGGTGCTGGAGGCGCGTGGCTTCCAAGATCCGACGTCCCCTTCACTTCACGGTTATGAACAAAAGACATCTATGCGTGGTTTGTAATTTATCAACATATACACACACACACACTCGTTTACTCTGTGATATGATATGACACTAGAGAAGTTGTTTATATTAAAAGATTCGATATTGGGGGAAACATAAAAGATAAGGTAACAGAGCTAAAAACAAGATTTTGATCACAGCTGGGATTTTGAATTATAACCCAAAGGTATGAAAGTTTTTACCCAAAAGAGAAGAAGAAAACCTACGAAGAACATGAACAACACCAAACGAACAGGACATAACAATGACATGTGAGCACACAAAAAAACCAATGAAATGAACGACAAAACTCTGTATTCTCCATTTACAGCATTTTAGTTTTTTTACTATATCTTTTTTTATTTTTAGCAAACAAAGAAAACTGAGACGAGCATCACCATTAACATGCTGTAGAAAAGCTTCAGGTGTCCTTTTAGTATCGATGTCGCAGCAGAGTGATGCTGTTCCCTGCAAGAATTTCACCATTGTTAGGATTTCCTCATTGGCTAAAGCAAGCAGACAACGAAGGAAGAGACAGAGAGCAAAAGGCTTCTGATGCATACTTCTGCATGCTCTTGAGGGCGCCGCAGTAGAGCACGTTGTCTGGAGGATCCATCTCTGTCTTGCCATTTTCCTCGGGATTTGTTATTCGCATGTATGTTTCTTGGCCAAGATACCATCTGTCCATATTCTCCACTCGGATGTTCCAGACTCCAACGTTATCAAGGGAGATTAGGACAGCGGTCCATGCTCCCGGGTAAACCTGATCAATGCCAAATGTAAAAACCTATGAGAAAACCTGCCCATCAAAGTAAAAAAGCACCGATCTTTCCAACCGGTTCATGTACAAACCTCAACAGTGCTCCGCGAAATGGCATCCCAGTTGTTGTAAGAACCTCTTCTCTCTTGCGTCCAATTACCAAAGTCCATTCTGCAAACAGTGTAAATAAAACAGCATTAGAGTGGATCGGGGTGAAGAGATGGGAGTGAAATAGATAGATAATTGAATAAACTGACCAGAGAATTCTTACCCAACGACGAAAAATGAGTAACCATTGACATGGAAACTCTGGACCTTGGTGTCATTGTTCTGAAAAACAACCTCTATGAAGCCCTTGTACGTTGCATTGATTATGGAATTGGCGAGACGTGGTGGTCGATCAAGAGGCTTGTCGGGAAAGTCCAGCTTGTAAGCTCCTTTCACTTTGTAAAAATCTGCAAGCCTCACAGGGGTGCTTGGGTTTGCAAATGAAATTCCATTAAGAGTAGCATGTAACGATCCATTGATTTTTTTTGGAGGTAAACTCCTCAATATGTATGTATGAGTGATGTTTATCTGCCCATAGTGAAATGAACCCTGTGGATTTGGACGAGCTCCACTAGCAGATGTATTTTGCCTACAAACACGAACCAAAGCAAAACCAAAGGACTCAGTTCTCGTTATAGATGCACACTTCAAATATTCACTGCCCATCAATCTAAATGCAACAGTGAGGGCTAGCTAGAAAACTCAAGCTTTCATAGACAAACCTGATTGCCCTCGGTTGGTTCATGACTGACCACGGTTTGGAAACGTCGGTGGCTGGAGCCGGGAGAGGACCGGAAGCAGATCCTTTGGAATTGGAGTAATGGAGAATGGCCACACCCGTAACTCTTTGCCACACGGTTTCATTCACAAACCTAGCGCTTGCCACAATGTAGTAATCACTTGTGGCATTCTGGTCCATGGTGACCAAGAAAGAATAGGACTGTCCAACATGAATATCAAAGTCTGTAAAGTTTGCCTGTGAGGTATAGCGGCCCTCGGTTTCCACCAAAAGCAGTTTATGGTTCTGAATCCGAAAGTTCAAGCTTGTCGATATACCAACGTTGTGAACACGGATTCTGTATGTTTTTCCTGCAAAATGTATGCAACATGTGCAAAGATGATGAGAAATCAACAATGGAAAGATTCTGAAGAGATCTTTTTTATAGTTATGTTATCATAAAAAAAAAAGGGTCCAACCTCAAAGCATCATCATGTCAAAATGTTTAATTATATGGAAAAAAGGACATTGGCAAGCCTAGAACAACACAGCTATAGCCCACAACAAGATCCCGAATATATTACCTGGATCGACATGAACTGTTTCATATTCAATTCCATCAGGTACACTGCTGTTGTACTTGAAAGGACCCTTCCCATTAATGAGAACTCCATCCGGCATCCCCAGTTCTCTCCCAGAGTCAAGTATTTCCCTTAGTGCCTGAAAAGTAATAGGGTTCCTACACATAAAAATCTGCTGCTTTCACCAAATGTCAACAAAATATCAGAAGCCTCTGGCGATGATTACATACAGTATGGTTCTTGGTGTACCAATCACCGATAATAAAGGTAATTTCGCCATCTGGCTGCGGGAACGGGATAGGAATAACTTCCCTGTTGTTAATGATGATTGGACCAAACCCACCAGAGGCTCTCTGGAAGTTGAGTGAGGGGAAGTAGAAATAGCTTCCAATCTGATCTTTGACTTGAAATTGATAAGTGAAGTTCCATTTCGGAGGAATCGGACAGGTAGTACCAAGAACACCGTCCTGCCATGAGTTACGTCGCATTTGGATTCCAGACCTATCAGACATGCCCAAAACATGATCTCAGGAAAGGCCAAAACCCAGAAAAATGCATCAAGAACGAGATAGAAACAAACCCAAGAAAATTTTATGATGAAACCCAAAGTTCAATCTTGGGCAAGGACTCACCAAGTCAGGAGGAGAGGCTCATCCAATTCGTTCTGCACGTTAACAACAACATGGTTGTTGGTAGTAGCATTGAGCAATGGACCTGGAAACTGCTTATTGATCGCTATAACCTGAAAGACATATTCAATCAGATGAATTCCTGAGTTGTGCATCATATAGCAACCCATAACCAGTGTATCATCAGAGAAAAAACGAAAATATCAGTCACCATTCGCAAAATAAAAACAGGAATCACAGATCGCAGACAGTATGAGATAGTAAGACCACGATCAGAGAGTTTATGGCATGGGTTTTTTATTCAACTTCGATCTGTATTTCGTCAACCTGAGTCCACAAAAGTCCGTAAAAATCGCAACTCATCACTAATAATCACCCTGAAACTACAGATAACCGCCATAAAAAGTATTGTCTGGAAGATCCAGAACCCTAAATCGCCATGAGAAGTTGCATCAGAGACATTGAACACAAGCAGTTTCCGCAAATAAGACGAAAAGCGATGGAGCGAGAAAAAAAAACGCAGAATAAACCTGTTGAGGAACGCCGAGAGGAGAAGCGGTGATGTAAGAAACTTTGAAATCGTAGAAGACGGAGGCATCCGCAGCGAGAGAGTCGCCGGAGAAAAGAGCAAAGCAGAGGACGTAAACAAACAGAAAACACCGCCAAAACAGAGCCGCCATTTTTCCTAGTTCTTCCAAGGTTTTCTTCCTGATCCTTGACTACGGAATCGGCATTATGATAATCGAAGGAACGAGAGAGAGAGAGAGAGAGAGAGAGAGAGAGAGAGAGAGAGAAGTGTAACTGTGGATTTCAGAAGGTTCTTACAAAGGAGAGAAGAAAATGACAGAAAACAAGGATTTTCATATTCGCCCCCAAAGGATATATATAATAATAATGATAGCGAAATGCGCCTCACTGACCGGCTACCGACTAAACCGGTTTCCATAGAATCCCCATTGATTGATTTCTTGGGTTTACCAAATGGAGATTTTGTGTACATATATAGCATTAAATTGTTTCTTGATATTAAGGATTTCAATTGATTTTAGTATACATATTTACAAGATTACTTGGCATTATTAAGAGATTGCAAATCTTTATCAGTTTGAGGAAGCTTATGATTCAACGCGTTTATTTAAATGGTAGGTGAATGTGTGTTTTTTTTGTATGGTTGTTAAATTTGGATTTATTTGTTTAATTGCCCAAAAAAAATAGGCTGTTAAAATATAAGCAAAGAGTAATTATTAGAATCTTCTAAATACCTCCCTAATATATAACAAAGCACATAAAAAAATTGATTATTGCAAATGAATTTCAATATATCCAGCTTAGCATAGACAAAAAAAATCTAAATAGATATATAAATTAATTTCTATTAAATTTCAATGGTGAAATATATATAACAAAATCTAACATTTTTTTTTCAATTTAAAACATATATAATCAATCTCTTGAATCTATTTTTGTATCCATATAGTTTATAGAAGAATGGTTTATAAATCTAGTCTGTAAAAAATAAAAGAAAAGAGATTCATCCTACTTATCTGTATGGTAATCAAAACAATTTACCATAACAATATTTTCTATAGCAAAAATAATGAAGAAAATCATATATTGGTATGTCATTATTCAAATATACCTAGATATAGGAGAAGTATATGCTATGTATTTTGGTGTTTATATGTAACTCATTTTTAAAAAAAAATTTATGTTCAGGAAATGTTGGTAGAGAGCCTCACATTTGTACCTTATATTCAAAATAAAAACTTTAAAATTAAATAATTAAAAATTAATAATATTCTGTTCATATGGATTTGATGAATATAGTATTGCATGGATATTTCTTTTGGCAGCTTTTGTATGATTTGAATCTACTTTTTTTTTTATCCATGTGATTATACAAAAGAATGGTTTAGATTAATAGGAATAACAATATGATTCATATATACATTACATGTATGGTAATCAAAACAACTTACCATAACAAAATTTTATCTAATAAAAATATTGAAGAAATAATCGCATATGATTCATATATACACCTAGACATATGAGAAGTAATCGTATAACTTATATTTTTTTGGTGTTTGTATGTAACTACGTATTTTTTTTTTAAATCTATCTTGAGGAAATTCTGGTTGATAATCTCATATTGTATCTCATTTTTTTTAAGTAAAACTCTTTATTAAATTATGAAAAAAAAATATAATATTCAACAAATATGGATTTGTTGAGTTATAGAATTGTACGCTTCTTCCTTTTGTATGATTGAACAAAATAAAGTAATTAACCTTTCAAAAAAAGGTATCCAGCAAAAATTACCGACAATAGCCAGTTGCCAAATCCAATGGATTAAATAAATAAAATAATTAACTAAAAATAAAAGAATTTTCTGGTTAGGTACTAAGGTACGTACGGGTACAGTGTAGCTGGTCAGATCCGTACAATCGAATAAATATAATTTATTTATTTATTTAAATTTGGACATAAAGATTTTGAACATCTAAATCTTCCAAAAACTACACTTCCGTATTTTAGTAAACAAATATTTTTATAATATTTATTTAAAAATATTTTGCTTAATAATTTTGCTATTTTTCTTTCCATCAAAAGCGGATAATATATACCTCAAATTACACATATAATTCTAATATGTTATGTGTATATGAAATCGTTTATTTCCTCTCTTCTTTTACTAGATTTATATGAATGTTATTGGGCATAATGGATGCTCTACATGGATATGAATATTTTTTTAATAAATTCCATACAAATTTAAATAAATTCAGAACTATATTTTAATATTTATTTTCGCTCTACGCAATTTCTAAATATTAAGATTGAAATCTGCATCCAAAACCATCATTTTTTAGAAAGTTCGTCATGATTTCATTTAAAATCTTTTTTAACATTCCGGAAAAAGGAAATTAAACCAATGTAATAAAAGGACAATATACAAACACTTAATATTATATATCACAACAACAACAAAAAGACATTATAATAACTATAACAAAGGATGGATAAATACATTACGATAATCACGGCTATTGTTAATTCAATATTTTTTACTCTCATAAATATATATATGTTAAACGCTCTGGATATTATCAAAAGAAAAAGGATGAATAAATGCAGAATTGAGCTGCCAAATCCCAAGTTTGACCTTAACCCTAATATCAGTAGCGTTGTTGAACAAGAACAAACGTGCGTTCCCATAAATTGCTTCTGTCGGATAAATCCGAGACGTTATCGCAATCCTACCGCCTTGTCCGAAACTTTCCACGATCGAATGATCCACCTGTCGTAATTAATTTCACACCAACACATTATGTATGTATGTATGTATGTATGTATGTATGTATGTATGTATGTATGTATGTATGTATGTATGTATGACATTATGTATGTATGTATGTATGTATGTATGTATGTATGTATGTATGTATGTATGTATGTATGTATGTATGTATGTATGTATGTATGTATGTATGTATGTATGGGATTTGTATATAATTATATATTGTTTATTTTTCGAAACTTACCAACACTCGCATGGAATATTTCTCTCCTACAAGCACGGGAACTGTGCTCCCGTAGACTTGTTTGAACACGTCAGGAGCCTTCGACGATCTGCATTGATCATTAGATATACAAAATTTTAATTTAATATATTCCTAATTCATTTTTTAGTTTATATGAATAATATATATACATATACAAACCTTGTTCCGTCGTTGCAAAAATATGTTTTGGACCGACCATTAGCCGAAGTGGGTCGGAAAAATACGGGGGTTAGCTCGGATAACTTGTCATCGGCCAAAACCAACAGCCCAAACGGTCCATAGCTGCTCCGGTCCGCGGCTCCACCGTGGCAACCGGCATCTGCGGTTAACTCATTCTCCACAGTTGAACCAACCGGTTCTGTCTCGAATTCGGCGATAATATCCAACTGTATCGAAATTTGAATTCAAAATCAGATGATGTTTGATAGAAATAATTGTGAATCAAAACTATCGAACACTCAATTATATAATTCAAACCTGAGTTGCCGGTCCAATGTTAACCGGTACGGTCGAACCGGGCTCAACCACTACTCCGTCGAACTCGGTACCGTTCAGCCGCAATGTCTCTACCTCCTCAACCGGCCACTGTAACATATTGCTTCCCGTTTTCGGATCATACAACACCGTTCTCGGAATCGTCTACATATTTATTTCGATTAGCCAAAAAAAAAATCGAATTTCTGAATAAAAACTAACCAATATAACTTATATAAAGATAAAAAAAAAAACTGATGAGAATTAAGCATATTTACTTGAAGAGATGCCCATCCCTTTCGTAGATCATCGGCTTCGGTATCTGTTTCATTGATCCAACCCCATAGTATTCGTCTCTTCTTGTTCGGATCATAGAACGTCTTGGAGGCATAATACCTACCGTAATCCACAAGTAACCCAATACCCACGTCTTTTTCCGGGTCATCGGGTATCCAAATTCCCTTAACCGGGTCATACGTCCCTAATGCATACACGTCTTGCTTCGTATCATCCAAACTAGCTTTCAACACGTGTTTTACTCCAAACCCATTTGCCGATGTGTCTAAACCGACCGACTGGTTAACCGAAACCGGGAAGAAATCCACGCATTCCCACATACCCGTGCCTTAACCGGAAACAGAAAACCGAAACACAAAAAACCAATTTGATTACCCTAAATTCAGTTTTTCAAATTCATATATATCTGAATCAATCGAAATTAACAGCGTACATACCGGGAACCGCGTGTAGAACCTCATCCACGAGTTCATACGATATGAAATTTGTGGTTTCGTAAACCATAGTCAAACCTGTTTTACCAACCTTCGAACCAATTGCAACCCTCCATTTCCCATTGGGCCCCAACCAAGCCGTAGTTGGGTCACGAAAATCTTTAGTCCCAATACCGGGTGGCGGGACCATAACCGGGTTACCCGGATACTTAGCCCAATCCAATAACAACGGATCCGAGAGATTAACCGGATACGCAAGATTCTGAACTTGTACCGAACCAACTGTAGAACCGGTGTAAAGCATCATGATCATACCGTTCGGTAGGATGGTGGCGGATCCGGTCCAGACACCGTTAACGTCGTACCATTGGTCGGGGACCATAGCGAACGGGAGATACATCCAGTGAATCATGTCCGTTGATACAGCATGGCCCCACGAGATATTGCCCCAAACCGCTGATTCGGGATTGTACTGGTAGAAGAGGTGGTACCATCCTTTGTAGTACAATGGACCTGCACACACACGATTTATTCCCTGCTAATACTATTTAAAGTTGGGCCAGGCCCATATGTACCATACAAGTGGGTCCTATGGGCTTAATTAGTTGAAGACACGTCATCGTGACGATAGCTATGTCTTTGTTTTCTCTTAATATGGATATCTAAATGGGCCATGCTTCAGGTTTGTTTTAATGATGAGTCCATTCCTTTTATGTTATATGAAACGAATCATTAACATCTTTTTTTCAAAAACAAAACACCTTATTAAGATCTTAATATAAATATATATGTATGTTATATTTTATTTTTATAATAATAAATATGTATAATGGTATGCATATTTAATTTGACAGAGGAACCACAACCACAGGTAAATATGGGCTAGGCGACAACATGAGGGGGATGTGATTGGTCGGCAACTGATTTTCAAAGCCCTTTAATAATTCATCAAACCAAACCCACCACGTGTTTTTATTTTTAACTCAATAATAATATATAAATCAGTGGAAAAAAAATGGTCTAAAAATAGATATATTTTGTTTTACTATACTTATAAATGGTATGTAATGTTTTCATGTTTAGTATTTTTTTTTTATAATCTAAAGTCACTATGTTTTTTTTCTATTGTTGAAAGCTTTCCTTTTCAGCCTAAAATACCAATCCTCTTATTACTCTTTTTTTTTTTTTCAAAATTCGGAATTTGTGATATGAACTACAATATAAACTATTCATCATTTTTTTTCCATTTCTGTATTTCTTGTTACATATATGTTTATAAAAATAGGACTAAATCTACTATAATAGAATTTATCAGCGGATAGAAAAAAAATATATTATAGACATGAGAACTCTGAAAAGTGGATCAACAGAAAAATTAAAAAATAATTAATTAAATTATAAAAAGATTCAGGAACTTACCATCAGGATCTGAAGTAGAAGAACCATCAAGATTCCATAGCCGAAAAGTGTACCCCCACGTGAAATTATGTCCAAAATTTAAAAAAAAAATCAAAAATCGTGATTATGAAATTTTAAAAAGTAATTTCCTAACCAACCGAATCGGAGGAATATATTAACTTTGGTAGTTATTAAATTAATTGATTATTGAGTATCTTTTTATTGATTTGTCACGGGACGGTCGAACTCCCACCTACCAGTGACCCCACCTCTCGTTTATTTAAAAAATAAGTAATTATGTTTATGTAAAATTAAACGAGGTTAAGTAAGATCAAATCACGTGATTTCCGTGCCCTTAATTACAGTGCCTGATTTTGGCTGCCCACAAAATTGGAAAACTAAATAAACACCCATAATAATAATAATAATAATAATAATGAATCATCACGTAACATTTTTTTTTTCCAAACGCGAATCATGAAATTAAGGTGTAGGGA